CTCCAGATTCTTAATGATGCCCTGTCACACACACCCCTTCCTTTTTTTTCTTTTTCTCCCCCCTCTCCTATTTATTTAGAGTTTTCATATCCCCTACTCATGACTCCGGTCATCTGAAGCTGTGCTCACGAAAGCTCATGACACCATCTACATGTTTTGTTAGTCTATAAAGTGCTACCAGAACATTTGTTGTTTTTTTCTGTAACAGACTAACTCGGCTATCCCCTGAAGCTGTCTTCACTGCAATCTCTAGCACAGAGTTTAAATCTTCATTCAGCTGTTTTGAAGCCGATGCTTCTCTGTGAATGATACAAGTCCACTTTATTGAAGAGTTTATAGTTTTTAATTGAGCAATAAGACTATTTTGTTAACCTACCATTGCCACTGATCCATCTGTTCACACAGGTATGCACCACTTTTATGATAATCCATGTTTCAAAAGCAGTTCATGTACCAAGTTAAAAATTTCTTCCTCTGTTGTTTTAGTATGGAATTCTTTACAGCAGTATATTTGTTCGCTTATTCCTTTTTCATCTTTGTTGTCAATGTATCTGACAAACACCATTAATTGTGTGCAATTAGAAATAGCTGTTGATTCATCAAGAAGTAAAACGAACTGTTTCTTCTGAATAATTTTTGAGTAATTTGTTTTATTATGTCTTCTGCCATCTCATCAATTCTTCTTCTTATTGTATCATTCAAATGTAGGATACTTTTAATTTTGACAACTTCTATTTCAGTAAACATGATTTTTTCATAGCAGCATTAGATATATTGACACCTTCACATTTTCTTGTAAAATATTCAGTTGATTTATCTTTTTAATGTAGGATGCTTTGTATTAAGATGTTGTTACAACAGAGACGGTTTCATACAGTGGTTAGATAAAGTCTCACAGCAACTCATGGAAAGTGGCAAAGGGGGTACACTTCCATTTGTAGTAACCCTGAATTTAAGATATTTGGAATTGTAACTGCATGTTTTTCTTATCTCAGAAGAATCTCCACTTCCACCGCTAGTGCATGGTTTTTTCACTACAGGCTTTTCTGCCTCAGGTTTCCTTCTTCCAAATCTGCAGTTTTATTCTTTGTTTTCACAAGAAATTAGTCCATTTTAAACCTTTCAGTTGTAATTATAAAAAAGTAAACTAAAATTGTACTAAGCAATTTTATCACTTACTTCAGATAGCAACAAGCGTAATATTTGATTGTTTATGTCCGTCCGCTATGAATGCTGGCAATTACTGACGCTACCAAGTAGCGAGGCATGCCAAAGATGAACAAAGTTTGCCGATAACATACCACTCGTCACCACTCGGCCGATTCTGTACCTCCACCTAACCTCGTCTGTATTGCATATGAATCCGTTACCGGAACTTCTTGACCTACTTGAAACCTGTGTTTATTAGAAGCAAAATGGCTGCATCTATGTACATTTTGTGTAACATCTCAACGTTATCCAAGGCGACGGCAGTGTAGGGAGCCACAGTTAAACATCGCAAAATTCAAACACTTCTCAAACATCGCCATACAGTAAACAAACAGACTTGATTATGTTGCCCCAAACTCAACAGTAAAATGGTCTTCAGGCAAAGAATTGTAAGGCGGAGGCGCATATCACTCTGTGGGTATGTCTTCACTGCCACCCTAGTTCGAACTAGAGTGGCTAATGTAGGCATTCGAAGTCACAAATGAAACCCGGGATTTAAATATCCCGGGCTTCATTTGCATCTTGCCGGGCGCCGCCATTTTTAAATCCCCTTTAGTGTGGACTCTGTGCCCGCGGCTACACGCGGCACAGAGTAGGTAGTTCGAAATAGGCTCTCTAATTCGACCTCCCGTTACTCCTCGTGGAACGAGGTGGAACGAGGTGTACCGGTAGTTCGAATTAGAGAGCTTAATTTGAACTACCTACTCCGTGCTGCATATAGCCGTGGGCACGGAGTCCGCACTAAGGGGGATTTAAAAATGGCGGCGCCTGGCAAGATGCAAATGAAGCCCGGGATATTTAAATCCCGGGTTTCATTTGTGACTTCGAATGCCTACATTAGCCACCCTAGTTCGAACTAGGGTGGCTAATGTAGGCATTCGAAGTCACAAATGAAACCCGGGATTTAAATATCCCGGGCTTCATTTGCAACTTCGAATGCCTACATTAACCATCCTAGTTCGAACTATGGTGGCAGTGTAGACATACCCTATGTAATACAGCCAAGGGATTGAAGGAGTTCACGGATTCAACCGAGGATTGTCGATTGATAACATACAAGTAGTCGGGTAGGTGATGAAATTTTTGGGTGTAAAAAGTACAAAAATACTAAAGCGCTGTAAAACTTTGTGAAACAAAAATTCAGTTTTCTCCAAATTTCAGTTGTGTTGACGTACCCTCCAGATTTCTCTTGAGTTCCCCTAAGGCTACATCTACACTGCTTCCTTCTTCCACAAAGCCTATGCACGTGAAGCGTGGATTATCATATTGTTATGCTTCATTTGCATAATTAATTAGGAACCTGTTTTGCACAAGAGGTTTTTGCACAAAAAACCCTCTTGCACAAGAGCCCTTCTTCCTGAAAAAATGAGGAAGAATAACTCTTGTGCAAGAGAGGACTTTTGCGCAAAAAGGAGCTGTGTAGATGGTGCCTTAATGCACAAAAATGGCTCCTAATTAATTATGCAAATGAAGTGTGGCAATATGCTAATCCACACTTCATTTGCATAGGCTTTTGCGGAAGAGGGAAACAGTGTAGATGTAGCCTAAGAGTAGTCATACCACTGGTTGAGAAACACTTGTCTAGGTTTACGTGGACCTGCCTCAGTGCAGTGGATTTAACTTCCTGTAATTTTGAGGTCTCTTCCAGCCCCATGTTTGTGATCCATCATATTTCTAGACTTTGAACCTGACAAAAATAATCACACCCATCCTTCTATCTTCTAGCTCCAGGTTGCCCATACTCTACTAAGTATAAGTAGCCCCATGATCCCCTTCTCCCTGTTGGCTGGCCTGTGCTACTGTGACATTTTCAGTATAATCCCATGTTTATAAATACACAGGGTTATAAATCACCTTGGTATCCTTTCCACCCTTTGCCCCAGAAAGAGAAAGAATTGCTGGTTATAAACTGGATGTCAGTTCCCTCTCCCTCCAGTCTGTTAGCCACCCCAAACCATGTCCCCAGAAGCACTGTCAGCCTTTACTCAACTAGGTCCAGTCTAGTCCTCTGGCCATGTGGAAAAGCATTCCTCTCTAGCAGTGGTCACCAACCAGTCGATCGGGATCTCCTGGTAGATCTTGGAACCTCTGACAGGTGATCCTAACTGGTTTGGCTAGGTGGCTATCAAGTGCCACCACTTCAGCTGCTCCTCCTCCCACTGCTGCACATCTCTGGCCCTTTGCCTTGGAGCTGTTTCCCCAGGAGCCTCCTGTTTGCTGTGCAGGGCAGGGCAGGGAAGGGAGAGGATGGGTGCTGATGTCAAGGTGCTCCCTTAACCCACCCTATCTCCACAGAGCAGAGAGGGGGCACAACAGGACTAGGGATAGAGCAAATTTGTTAGCTGCTTTTGGGAGTGGTGCAGGGCCAGGGCAGGGGTGAGCCTGCCTTAGTCTCACTCCCCCATCAGTGCAGCATCATCTAGGTGCCCAGCTGTAGTGCACATCCTGAACCCCTCTACCTCAGTCATGAGCCCCCTACTACATCCCAAGCCCCTGTCCTAGCCCTGAGCCCCCATGCATCCAAAGACCCTCCCGGAACCTGCACCTAGAACCCACTCCAGCACCACAGCTGCCTGCCCCAAGCTCAGCTCAGAGCCCCTCTCAGACTCCAAATCCCTTAATCCAAGACCACAGTCTGCACCCCAACCCTAAAAAAAACTGCCCTAAAAACAGTATTAGCCACAACCAGAGATTCTCCGATTCAAGTTATTACAGAGTATGAAAAATGGAAACATTGCTGGTTACAAATAAGACAAAAGTCCGTAACATGCTTCTAACACTGAACAGAGCGTTCGTCGCTGGTGACATGTAACGGGGAGCTGAGGGGCCGTGTCGTGCCTGCCCAAAGGCCCCCGGTGGGAGGGGCAAAGGGCCAGAGCCTCTTGGCGCCCTGGGGGACTAGTGAGGGGGGAAATGGGAGAAGCCTGGTGCCCACAACAGGGGTCTGTCCCTCCTGCACTCGTGCACCAGTGAGAGGGAAGCTGAGCAACATGACTTTGCTCCCCCAGCTGCTAGGGGAGAGGTGGGAGTGTCCCCCTGCCTTCACCAACGGGAGATGGAGTGATGTGGCTGGCACCTAAGGAGTGGCACCGTGTCGCTTCACTTCCCCTGCTGCCACCACCATGTTTAGGAATGCAATGGCTAACTGGAATAAGCAGCATTATTAATAATCACCTCAAATCCTATTTCCAATCGTTACAGCAGAATGCACACAAAAATTACACAGGGCATTCACAGGTATCAAGACACTGTGGATGGTCCCTGTAGGTCTCTGGTGATCTCACAGGGCATCGCTAGAACTGGCCTGCTGGTTAAAAGCCAGTCCCACATCTGATCGTATTGTTATGGTTCTTTCAGTGCTTGTCATTTCAAGTAATTTCCTATTTCAAATGCATTGATGGCTCCTGGTTTAACAATAATGATGCCAAACTTAAAAATATACCTGCCATAAAATGCAGGCAATTGTGGCCTACATCACAAGCTGAAGTAAATAAAATTGACATGTGCTGAGTATTTGGCTTTAGTATCTTCTAGAAAAAGGGGGCAGTACCACTTAGGGACTTTGACACAATTCACACAATGATACTCCATTTTTAGTGTTTTAGAAAACTCCCTTTGGATTCAACAAGAATTCTGTGAACAGAGTGAGGATGGCATGTAGCCCATTGCATATAAAAGATGGAGCAATTTTGAGGAACTTTTTCTAAAGGTCTATACTTGTCCCACAAGTGCACTTGGAATTCCCACTGGGATTGACCCAGGGATTTAGGACAATGTGCCTTCCTCTTGTGCATGTCACCTGAGGAACTCAATGTGCTTTACAAATATTCATTAAGCTTCTTGGTGTATTAGGAGGCAAGCCTTATTAGTCCCATTTTACAGCTGGGGAAACTGAGGCAGAGAGGAATTTTAATTATTTGAACCCAGTTAGGCCTGCTCTAACAGGGCCATGCTCTTTCTTCTCTCTCTGCATGGGGTAAATTGGCCTCTGTAGTTGCAATTTATGTGCCAAATTCTTCTCCCAATTCCACAGGTACAGCATTCCTGGATATCCACCAGATTAACTGAGAAGGGAATTTGGAAGTACATTGTCAAAGAAAAAGATGACAATGGATTTGGTATGAGTCTCCACACCAAAGGGATAAGGAGAAAATGATTATACCTATCATCTGCATCTCCCCCTGCTGATAGTATTCGCGCACTAAAATATCTATCTTCTGATATTCTATCTGCTGATAAAAAAACCATGGCTTTCATTGTACCACGCCATTAGATCTTTTCTTAGATTAGCCTTTTTCACTCTTGGCTCTAAGTTCTGTTCTTAGTTCCAGCCCTGGGACCGAGTTTTCAAAAGACGCCTCATCCCAAATTGCAGGCTCAATTTTTCACCTAAAAACGTTAGTGCATGTTCAAAAACCAGGAGCGAGCCCAAAATTGTACCGGCAGTTTTTGAGGGTCAGAGCAAAGCCCCTTTGAAAATCTGCCTCTTAGAGTCTTTTCCTTCTTAAAGGAAATGTCTGATTTCTATGACCCAAATGAGGAAGTTACTTCTTGGAGCCACTCAACTGAGAACTTGGGCGAACTTCAGCTCATAGATGGCTTCATCCCCAACGTTATCTGTTCACTGGCTTCTCACCATTTGGACTAGAGTCCCAGCCCTGTTTCTCTGGTTGGGCTGGAGGAGACCTTGGAGGCTTACTGTAGAAAAGACAGAGCTGTAGACACTGTCTTTTCTCCCTGATCACTGGAAGGCACAATTGGCACCAGCAGCAAGACCTCAGACCCAGGATTCTTCATCCTCCTCTGAAAGCCACACTTTGGCCTCTGCCTGGGGGGAGCCACTGTGCTCCACAAGCCAACCCTCTTCCTCAGGCGCTGCATGTCCTGTGCTGTTCTGCCGCGTGCTGGCCAGGCCGTCCTGACTTGGCTGGGTCTTACGCTTTGTGCTGTGGGCCTTCTCCTGGCCTTTGGCTCTGGCCGCTCTCCGTGCCTGCCTATAGGTCACCGGAGTGGGGATTCTGGATGGCCGTTTTTCAGGTCTGTTGTCCCTGCGTGGGCGGATTTTGGGGCGTAGCTTTAGCTTGAAGATGGATGGCACCCGTTCAGGCTTCTTCAGGGACCTTTTGGGCTTACCTTGAGGCAATCTGGACTTCTCCAAGCCACCTGCAGAGGCTGGAGAATTGATAGATGCCTTGGGGCCATCCGAGGCTGCCTGAGACGTTTTGCTATTTCTGTTGACCGCAGCTGACCCTGCGCGGCTTGTGGGAGATGGCTGTTTCCTTGACCTGTTGCCTTTGGTTTCTATGGACACCTTCTCCTTGAACGAAATTCCTTCTGACTCCAGAAGCTTCTTTTCCTCTTGGTTTCCGTTCACCAGAGGCAAACTTAACTGAGAGGAAACCCTCACCACCCGCGTGGGAGGGATCTTGGTGATCCAGTCCTCCGCGTCCACCCGGTGGAGTGCCTTGTGCCCCTGGGAGAGTTCGTCCATCACGTTGCCATAGCGGAATCCAGCGGGGGGCCATTGTGCCTCTCCGCTAGGGACATAGACACCGCTCCGAGGCACGCCCTTGCCATACGGCACGCTCTGCCTGGCACTTTGGGAAGAGAGGGTGGGCGTGGAGGATCTCGGCTCACTAACGTCCCTGGCTGCGGTGATGCGCCCTGTGCTGCAGTCCAGGGCACAGTCACCCATTTGGTTTCCCCCAGGCTGGTGGCTTTCATCCGAGTCAGCCTCTAGAACCTTTATGTTGGATAAGATCTCATCTTCTAGGCTCTTGTACAGGGCCTGCTCCTGGGCCCGGTTGATGGGCAGAGGTGTATACACACGTTCCCTCTCTTCTGTGCAGTCAGCTGGGTCTCCACCACTCCTGCTGCTATTGGAGTTCCCTGACTCTTCCCCCGGCACCAGTGTGGCCTTTGGCTCCTTGTCCTTGCCGGCTGGATCTGGCTGTTCGAGTCTGTCTTTTGGGCCAGTGGGAAGGTTGGGGGTTAATGTCTTTGGCTGGACAGCCCCCCTGCCTTGTATGTGCCCCTCTGAGCCACGCGTGGCCTGGGAGGTCGCTGTGCTCTTTGGAAAAGCTGGAACTTCTGCCGTCGCGCCGGCTCCCCACCCATTTCGGAGCTGGGGCTCCTCCTGGCAGCGCTGAGCAGGGGTTGGGGACCTGCGGAATGCGGGGCTGGCTCGGATTGGGATCTTAGTGCTACTTTCCGGGCCCTTGTGTTTCACTGGGGATTTCATTGGGCTGGAAGGACGGACCATCCCAGGAAAGGGTTTGACCCCTGATTCCTGTGACCTGTGGGCCTGTGGAAAGGGTTTGACTCCATACGGGGCACTCCGGGGTGGCAGAGCGGAGCTGTCCTGTGGCCCTGTCATCTGAGGCCTGGAGTCTGCACACTTGGTTTGCAGAAGCCTGGCTGGATCCTTCTGATTGATCCCGGGGCCTCTACTAGTCTGTCTCCCTCTCTGGGGCTCCAGAAGGGCTTCTGAGGCGCTGGAGCCACCCTCTTCACTTCCCATCAGCTGCAATGTCCGGGAGGACGCAGACACGTGCAGCGTCTCCCTCCCGCTGCGGGCAGAGTTCTGTTCAGAAGCGGGTCTTTCCTCAGCAAGCAGCTGCCTCCATGCGGGAGTGGCAGGGCGCTGTGCTGCCCTGTCCTCCCGCTGCGGGCAGAGTTCTGTTCAGAAGCGGGTCTTTCCTCAGCAAGCAGCTGCTTCCCTGCGGGAGTGGCAGACCGCTGTGCTGCCCTGTAATGAGACAAAGCCCCCACCCGGAGTGTCAGTCACCTCTCGGCCTGGGCAGGCGGCTGTCTGCCCTGCTCTGGGCAGGAAGCAGGCACAGCGCTAACAAGAGGGATGAGGGCATGTACAACCCTCAGGGGCAGCTTTCAAACACAGGTTGCAGCCATGTGCCCTGTGACGGGCTGACAGCTGGCACGAAGGCCAGTGCAGGCTAACTCTGGAAGGTGCTGACACGCAGCAACACAGGAGCCCGTCATGTCATCAACTGCACAACAATACACCGGCCTGGGGGGTTGAACTAATTACATTTTGTGACTGCTGAGAGCAAGGGGCTAAGAGCAGAGCCTGAAATCAGAGCTAGCCCAGGCAGACGTCCCAGGCCTCTCTATCCCCCCTTTCAACACCGGGAGATCACACAGACTGCCAAGAATTGTCCTACATCTGGAAACAGCCTTTCATGTACCTCCTCCAGTTCCGACGCTTGTCCTATGGCTCTGCCAGTGCCCCTCAGTCCTGACCTGTAGCCCCCCCCCCCCAATATTCCAGTCCTGGGGCCTCACTTGGGCAGAAACACTCTCGCCATTGAATGACTCCCTTTGGCTGATCTTGAGATGACCCTGATGAGCACTGAAAAGGGCCAGGGCAAACTATGCTCAAGCTTACATAAGAACATAAGAAGGGCCATACTGATCAGACTAAAGGTCCATTTAGCCCAGTGTCCTGTCTTCCAATGGTGACCGATGCCAGATGCCCCAGAGGGAGTGAATGGAATAGGAAATCATCACATGATCCCTCCCTTTATCCATTCCCAGCCTCTGACAAACAGAGGCCAGGGACACCATTCCTACCCATTCGTGCTCATAAGTATTGATGGACCTGTCCTCCATGAATTTGTCTAGTTCTTTTTTGAACCCTGTTAAAGTCCTGGCCTTCACAACCTCCTCTGGCAAGGAGTTCCACAGGTTGACTGTGCGCTGCGTGAAGAAAAGCTTCCTTTTGTTTGTTTTAAACCTGCTGCCTATTCCGTTCATTTGGGGACTGCTAGTTCTTAGGTTTTGGGGACAAGCAAATAACTTTTCTTTATTCACTTCCCACACCAGTAGACCTTTATTATATTCCCCCTTTAGTCTCCTCTTTTCTAAGCTAAAAAGCCCCAGTCTTTTTCATCTCTTCATATGGGACTCGTTCCAAACCCCTCATCATTTTTGTTGCTCTTTTCTGAACCTTTTCCATGCCCAGCTTGACATGGGTCCTTTGAGGTGGGAACAAAACAAAAACGATGCAGAGACTGGAAGGCACAAAAGAGGCCGGGTTAGCACTAAAATGCACCGTTCCCTGTGTCCAATGCCAGCTGCTCTTCTGCGTCAGGGACTATACCGATTGCTCAGCACAGCATCTTTGGAGACATCCGGGAAACCAAGCCCCAAACCTGTCTCAACCTTCTTTTCATTACCTGCCTGAAGGGACCTTCCGGGGCTTTGACTGCTCCCGAGGGAGCCTGAGCCCGGAATCCTTCCTGGTGGCACTCTCTGGCGATGAGGACGAATGAAGCTTCCAGCTGGGATTGAGGCTTGGTGGTGTGTAGGTCCTCCACTCCACCGGGGGCAGCGGGCTTTGAGACCGGCTTACAATCATGGTGGGATGGGGCTTCTTTGGATTGTCTGTCCTGGGCGTCGGGCAGACCTTGATTTCGTGCTGCACCTGGATTGCCGTGAGTCTTTGCGGGCTCGTCAGCTTTACCAGCTGCTTGTGGGCTGTGAAGAGATTCAGGGACTCAGGATCTCTGGTGACCACATTCCCTTGGATTAATTTCTGGAAGCAGCTGTACTGGTGTGCCAGACCTAAGCCGGGCCAGATACTAGTGCCAACCACTTTCTGGTCAACTGTGAATGTTCTAATTCATCAGACCTATGTCCACACTGGCAGTTTCTTGCACAAGAACATCTTGCTCAAGAGTTCTTGTGCAAGAATTCTTGCACGAGATAACGTCCATACAGCCATGTGCTTTTGCGCAAGAGCATCCATGGCAGTGTGGACACAATCTTGTGCAAGAAATCTCTGATAGCCATTTTAGCCATAGGGCTTTCTTGCACAAGTAACCCCTGCCATGTGTCCACACTGCCCTCTTGTGCAAGAGAACTTACACTTGTTAGAAAAGAGCATAGCTCTTGTGCAAGAAGCCCTCTCTTCCCACACTTTACTGTAAATTTTCTTGCACAAGAGCAAGCGGGCAGTGTGGATGCTCTGCAGAAGAACGGCTGTTCTTGTGCAAGAACCCACCAGTGTAGACATAGCTAGGGAGACTGGGTTGGACCAGGTTGTATTTGAACCAAGCTAATCCTTTGTGACTACTCAAGAGGGACTGGAAATCTGGCACTGGGGTACATAGAGGCATTGAACATGTGCCTTTTACCTCTAGGAATAATTTACTCAGGTGGAATAACCCGAGATCACATTGGCCTACGACATTTCTACCGTCCAGGTCCTGAAATGCAGGGAGCTCAGATCTCGCATTGTTCTCCCCCCTAAGTGGTTTCCTGAGGCATTGTAAACCTTGTGAAATACATAAAACAAATCCACTCGTCCCAAAGGGCAGTTCCTATGCCCAGCCCTGGGCAGGACGGCTGCGGTTCTTTCTCTTCAGAAGTGCTGACCTGCCCTCTAGTGGCGCTATGTGAGAAGAATGGCTTCCCTGTCTATGCTTCTTTGCTGTTCTTCCCTGCAAAGCCGCCCCCCTCCCACCAAGACTCTACTGCTGAGGACCCGGAGCCTGATGTGGCATGGGAGACACCCCTCCCCCAGAGCCTGATGTGGCAAGACCCGGAGCCTGATGTGGCATGGGAGACACCCCTCCCCAGATTCCAACCTCAGCCAAGCAGAAGGGTCACTCTCCCACATCATGCAGACACCCACGGCTGCACGCATGCAACCCACCGACGGACGCAGCCCGAGGAGACTTACACAGCGAGGTGCATCGGCAAGGATCATGCTTATCCAGATAATGCTCCAGTGTGTCCCAGCCCCCTCCAACCCGGACCATCACGTGATTTCGGAGGATCTGAAATGAACAGAACACCCACATGAGCAAAGAGACTCATCTGGGAATGTCACATCCTGGGCTAGAAATGAGCAAAAGCTCAACCACTAGATGGCACATTTTCCAGTGAGGCATATACAGTATTTCACACACATACAGGAGGGCATGCACACGTACTTACATGCACACATATATGTGATGCCTATTAGAATAATTCCAGGTGCTCTAGCAGCACACTGTGGTTTTCATGGTCATCGGTGAGGAGAGAACCGGATCTTTGGCCCCCAAAACAGCCTTTAGCACTTGAATGAAAGAGAACCTCCTATTCCCTGTGTGCCAGCGACCAGAGAACATCCTCAAACAGACGTAAGGCCAGGTTTCCCAGTGAGACCAGGGCCAGAGCTTGGCGCCCCAGGTTTTCCAAAGAGCTCCTCGCCCACTGCGTTACTACAACACAGCCAGTGCGCACTCAGTGTGTTGAGCTTTTCTGGAAACCCAGCACTACAGACTGACCCTGATTGGTGCAGGATCTCCTACTCGTCTACTGACGTCATTGCTCTTCTCATCTCAGCTCCAAGCCACGCCTGCAAACCTGTGCACATATTTGGTTGGCATGCCTGCCTATGTGTGCACACCTGTCCATGCCTATGTCTGCCTGCATGTGTGCACACACGTGCAGGACCACTCTTACCCAGCTACATGAGGACGGTGTGTAAAAAACCCATGGAGTCCAAAGGGGATTTGAGGACACAGCTGAATAGGAAGGGATGGAGGACCTGCTGCCCAGAGCACAGTAGCAAGTGACTCCTGCTGTGGAAAACACACACACACAACACAATACAGAGCTTACTACCACCCCGTCTTACTCCAGCAGGATGCCTCAGGGACAAGTGGTTATTCAGTTAATTGAAAGGTGTCTGTGCAGGTCAGGCCAGGATGGCAGGAGAGGGGTTTGGGGACCTAATGTTGGTCACCATTGCAAAGGGAAGAAAAGCTGAGGACCTTCTCCCAGGACAGTTAACGAAGGGGCCAAGAGACCTGAATAGAAAATGGGGTATGGAGAAAGGGACGGACGACCCTACGTGGGGCTCATGTTTTCCCCACAGTGAACGTCACGTGGGTGAAAGGCACCAGACTGGTAGTGCTGGCAACACCACGATTGGCTTCTCTCCCATAACCCCATCCCGCTCTGACCTGGAGAGTGAACGTCTAGGGAGAAAAGGCACCTCCCTCGCCAAGGTCCAGCCAGTCCAACCAACAGGCCAGCTGGAGGGGGTGGGGGTTCGAGCCCTATCGCCCCGGGGAGCGAACTGACTCTTTTCACCAAGTGACATCGGAGAAAACTCAGCCTGCCGTCCCCATTGACCTGTTCTGTCCTCATTAGTGTGACGACAGAGCCTCTTACCACCCCTCACTGACATTCTCCACCAACACCCCTACTCGCTGTATGTGTTGCTAACTGTCCACGGCTCAGTCACTCTGACTCTCCATATCGGCTCATGCTGTCTGTTGGGATGGGACCAGGCACAACGAGGGGTGACGGACCCACGTCTGCAGAACCCCACCCCAAAGACACAACACCCTGGCACCAGATGGTAACATCAGCACAGATGTCCCTCCTACTTCTGGAGTAGATTAGAAGTTCCTGGCATCACACAGCATAACAACAGCATCTGGAGAGCACACCTGCCTGGACTTACCCTGACAAAAATGAGGGTGTTGGAATCACCCACGCGGTATTTCCCTTCAGATACCTTCATCATGGAGAACTGGACTGGGCACGTGCACCGGCTCACCAGGTGATGGACCTGCAGAATCCAAGGTAAACCATTCATGATCATCGTGAGGAAAATGCGACTCCCTGTGCATCCTGGATACCACTGCAGCTTTGAGGAGCGGGGTGCTAAGCCGCTTGGGCCCATTCTCTGTCCAAAAGAGGGAGTCCCAGTCAAGGGTTCTCCAGATCCCATGAGCACCCCGCAACCCTGTAAACACACACTGGCACTCCCACAAGAAACAATTTCTGTTGCTGTCTTCCTGCCGGTCACATGACTGGCTCTGGCTGTATCTGCCCCTAGCTCTGGCTGTATCTGGGAATTGGAACTACAGAAGCCTCCACAAACATGAAAAAACCCAACAACGGGGGTGGAATTAACTGGACATTTTTTGTACCGCTAACAAGATTCAGTTCAGGATCACAGAGCGCTTGATGTGACGAGCCAGGAAGTTTAAGCCACGCTAGTTTGGGCCTTCACAGTCCTAACTGGGGCCACTACTGGCTGAAGAAATCAGTTCCCTATGCACTATTCCATTCAGGAATTTGACCTTTAAAGCCCAGTTACTGCCACAAACCACAAGTGTCTAGCCTGCTGGAGACAGGCGCGCAACTCCTGTTAACTCTGTTGGGTTTTAAATACGCACGTATCCAGTGTGGAGACTTAAGAGTCTCTCACCTACAGGTAGCACCTTCCTGCCTGAAAGGTCCCAACATAGACTGTATATAGCAGAACATCCCCCACCTTGAGACAGGCCCCCTGGTCAGGTCCTCCTGAAGTTCATTCCTGGGCTGAAAATATCCAGGAATTCTGACCCCCGCCCCCAAGGGCGATGGGTTACAGTGTCCCAACCTCCCCTTACCATCTGATCCAGGTTCTTGAAGTCACAGGGCGTCCTCTGGGGCTTCGGAAGTGGGGTATCCTCAGGGGAGAGGGCCATCTCCTCTCGGATCTCCTCCTCGATCTCCTCCTCCATTTGGATCAGGGTGGGAGCGCTCATCCCGAAGCGAGAGGCCCGGCGGGCCACCTCCAGCAGGCACAGCACAAAGTTCTTCTCATTTTTCCTCAGCACCAGGTCCTCCGTCTCAAACATCAGCACCTCTTAGGCCGAGCACACCAGCGGCACGTGGGCGGGAGGAGAGGCAGAACGGAGAGAAGGAGTCAGAGGTAATGGAGGCAGCACCGCTGCTGTCTCGGGGGGGTGGGGATTCTCCCACCCAGGCAGCACATATGCAGTTAGGTGTGTCTAATTACTAGGGTGCGTCTACACAGCACAGTCATTTCAAAATAACAATGCGAGTGTCTACCCAGCAATTCCGTTATTTCAAATAATGGGCGGTTTATTTCAAAATCTGTAAACCTCATTCCACAAGGAATAACACCTATTCCCAAATAGCTATTTTGGAATAGCGGTAGTGTGGACGCTCCACTGATGCTATTTCAAAATAGCTCCTCCCCAGGGCTATTCAATTACTCCCCAATGCCTCCTGGGGCTCCACATCGAGGTAGCACGTCCACATTAGGGGAGCCTGCCTCGGACTCATTTTGAGGCTCGTGTAGACGTGCTATTTCGATGTAAGCTATTTCTGAGTATTTCTTCCAGAATAGCTTATTTCGAATTACGCGTGCTGTGTAGACGTACCCTTGGTGATGGATCTTTGTCCCAAAGACTGTCTGGTGGAGGCAGAGCTAAGCAAGGCCTGATGAGGTGAGACAATGTGAGTGTGAGTTGGCCTGACCACCACCGTTCTGCGGAGAGTGGACTGTCCAGACAGAAGTCCAGAGATCCAGATTGCTTCTGGGAGTTTAGGCGGGAGTACGAAGGACTAGACAGTGGGACAGTTCGGGGGGGGAGGCTAGAAAGGTACATGCCTTGCACGCATTGCATTCCAGAGCTCAGGCCCGTGAAATGGGCTAGTGCCAACAAGGGCACTGAGCACAAAGAGGTTCCGGCGCATGACTAAGGTCCTAGGCACCAAAGCAAGACACATAAAAAATGAGAAGAAAACGAAATGCCCTGGGAGAGGAGACAGGAAAGGGTACTAGGAATAAAGAGAAATGAAAGGAATTGAAAGAAACTGGAGAGAAGGGTCAGAACCCCCTTTACCTTTAATATCCATCTCTTTCCTGCACCACTGGATGAAGTTAGACACGTTGTCCCGGGCCTGGAAGGTTCCTGGTTGGGCAGAGTCATTACAGATCACCCTGTATCTGGGCAGCTGGAGCTTGTGGGCCAGGCCTGGATAGTCCTGAGCGAACTCTCTGGCCACGTGGGTGATATTGTTGGCATGGTAGCACAGCACGGAGCCCGTCTCCAGCACCTCCAGGAGGGAGCCCACGTGGATGTCCAAGTCATAAAGTTCCTTGAGCCACTCAGCCAGGTCCTCCTTCATGGCATAGAGGTACTGCTCGCTGGACTTGTAGGGCCGGATGCTCTGCGCTGTGGCCCCCTGAATCCCCGCCATCTTGCTATGAGACGTGGGGCTCATGGGAGACAGAGAAGGGGCATCCAAGACTTCCATGCAGGTGCAGTCCAAATCTTGGTCCGGTTCCAGACTTACCAGGTGTGGCGAGTTTCCACTTCTCCGCCACCAGAGCAGGTTCTCATGGGCCTGCCCTCGGGGCCTGCATCTCCACGGCTCTCACCAAATTGCAACATGCAATGGACGCTCCAGAGCTAGGCTGGAAAAGTCACAGTTTCCCTCCCTTCCTGAGTGGCGGCAAGTTCACCGGTGACAAAGCTCCACTCGGTCCCTTAGTCATCGCAAAGTCGTTGCAATCCCACAGATTCCTTAGGGGACAGCAAGTTCCTTCGTCCATCCCACACGCAGACACTCAGCACCTCCGAACTGTGACCCCCCCTCAGTCCCTCGGCTGGAAGGTGCTGTCCTCACGCCTCATTCCTGCGCCAGAGCCATCGCTGCCCCAGCCTCCTGGAGGAACCCGCCTGCAGCAGCTCCCACTCCACATTCCTATGCTGGGAACTGAACTCTGCCTCTTTCTTCAGCAAAGAACTGGGGCTGTCCCCCTGCACCCAGAGCTCCCACCCCCTTGGGACTCTCAGAAACCCCTCTACCTCTCCTAGTGTGGCTGCGTGGAGCCTGGATCACTGTCAAAGGGAAATCACCGCTCCAGACAGCCTAGGGTTTTGTTTCCTTCCTTAAGTGCTGTTCTCTTCTCCTTGGTGACAGAGACTTGCTACAAACACTCCCCATTAACCCTTTCGGCTGCTGTTTTCTCTCTGCTTTCCCAGCAAAACTGACTCCTTTTTTTTTTTTAATCTGTAGTGACTGATAAGATGTCTGTCTCCTACGCTGCACAGAGGCACTTGCAGGATGTTAGCTGAGAGTGGTTACGTCTAGACTGCAAGCCTCTTTCGAAAGAGGCTTTTTCGAAAGATACTTTCAAAAAAGCCTCTATCAAAAAAGAGCATCTAGCCTACAACCAGTACTTTTGAAAAAGCAAGCCGCTTTTTTGAAAGAGAGCACCCAGGCAGTCTGGATGCGTTCTTTCGAAAAAGCAGTTGGCATTACATAGCGCCTTTTTTTAAAAGAGCGCTTTCGAAAAAAAGACGTTCTTCCTTGTAAAACGAGGATTACTGCGGTCGAAAAAACTGCCATGTTCTTCCAATTTAATTTCGAAAGAACTCGGCGGCAGTCTAGACACAAGGGAAGTTTTTTCGAAAAAAGGCCATTTATTTTGAAAAAAAAATCCTGTAGTATAGACACACCCAGTCTCAGAGAGAGATCTTGGATTCAGTGTGGAGAGTTCTCTAAAAACATCCCCTCAGTGTGCAGCGGCAGTCAAACAAGCAAACAGAATGGTGGGAATCATTTAAAAAGGGACAGAGAATAAGGCAAAGAATAGCTTATTGCCTCAGTATAAAGAGAGATTAAAAATACTGAGAAAAGAGGAGACTAAGTGGGGATATAACAGAGGTCTATAAAGTCATGACAGATTTGGAGAAAGTGAAGAAGGAAAAGTTATTCACTTGTTCCCATAACATAAGAACTAGGGGGTCACCAAATGAACTTAATAGATAGCAGATTTTAAACAAACAAAACAAAGCTTTTCTGCATGCAATGCAAAGTAAACCTGTGGAACTCCTTTCCAGAGGATGTTGTGAAAACCAGGACTTTCACAGAGTTCAAAAAAGAGCTAGATCAATTCATGGAGGTTAGGTCCATCAATACTTATTAGCCAGGATGGGTAGGAATGGTTCCCCAGCCTCTGTTTGTCAGAGGCTGGAAATGGGTGACAGGAGAGGGATCACTTGATGATTCCCTGATCTGTTCACTCCCTCCGGGGTACCTGGCATTGGTCACTGTTGGCAGACAGGACACTGACCTAGATGGACCTTTGGTCTGACCCAATATGGCCGTTCTGATGTTCTGAACACTTGTCCCAAACAAGAAGGCTTTAAAAGTCTGGGAGCATTTGGGTCTGGAGCATTCATTTGGGACCAGCTGATTAGCAATCTGACATGACTCAGCACCAGGCTTTCTCCACAGATCGCAAAGCACTTTACAACCATTAGTGAACTGATTCTCACTCCCTTCCCATCCCATGCCCCTCTGTGCAGAACTGTCAGTCAGTCGCATCATTCCCATTTTACAGATTGGCAAACTGAGGCACCATGCAGGGGGAAGCGGCTGGGCCACAGTCATACAGTGAGTCAGTGACCGAATCCCAGACATCCCAGTATCCTGCTCAGAAAGCTCAACTCACCAGGCCGAATTCCCGGAATCCTGCTGTGACAGACCGGGCCGTGTCTGGACACAGCTAAGGGCGTCCACTCAGGGCGAATTGCTCAAATCTGGGGCTCCTTACAGCCCCCAGACTGGTGACCTCTCCAAACAGGCCACAAACCAGTCCCACAGAGCGCTTCAGCAG